CATGTAAAAATCAACTGACCAATTAATCTTCCATTTTATCTTGGTGGTTTTTACAACTATTAGAATTAATCTTAACTTGTCTGAATTTCCTAGATAAAGCATTGTCAATTATGACAAATGAAGCCTTTAAGTCTTGAAGAAGCCACTCCTTCAGCATACCCTATAGGCTGATGCAACAAAATCACAAATGAAAACCTTTCTACATCAGTTGAACACATGCAACAGCAACAACAAATATAGTACATGTAACTAAAAGAGAAAATAATGATACAATGAAGGTTTTGGAAAATATGTAACTCAAGAGACAAATACTGATTTTCTCTCCACATAGCCACAAATTTGTAGTTTACGCTCAAAAACAAATACATGCATTGTGAGTTTAGTTACTGCAAAATATATCCACTTTCTAATTTTATTGCTCATTCATTTTTTTTTTTTAGATATACTAATATGCACCCAAGACAAGGCCCAAGAGTCACTTAAGGTAAAGTGTTATTACACGGTGTTGTATGGCCATAAGAAAAGGCAATAAATGCAGTTCATGGGGTGATGTAGGAAAGATAACAGTTAACCCTTGACTTGAAGAGGTCAAGATTGTAGTGATCAGGAAAATATCTTGCCAGGAGTCTGTTTCACAAAGCAGCAGTTCTTGGAAGGAAGAAGAAGTGGAACTTACTTTTTACTAAAGGAATATGAAGGGAATGAGGATGATTCATCCTTGTGTATGTGACATAGCAGGTCCCAGCTGCAAAGATGAGGGCTGGTGAAATCAAGGAGTGTAGCTCATCAAAGCACTTACTGTGGAAAGAATATATTGAGTGCTGGTATAAATAAAATAGTGCTCAGGTGTATAATAACAGCTATAATACTAAATGTGATTATAGTTTTCAGTTGGAACCTGACAATAGCATTTAAACATGAAACAGACTGTTTCAAAAACAAACTTTGTGATTTATCTTTTAATAAAGTTTGACAGAGATGTTCAACGTAAAGCTACAGCTGGTTAAAATAATTCATGTCACATGGATCAGTTGAAAGCAGTAGAGAAATCCGAGTGTTGAAGGCTAAAACATAACTGAATGCAGACCTGGTTATGTTACACATTTTGTGTAGCATTCTACAGTTTGGAGTTCTACTAAACTAGAAAATTTTGAATTACACACTTTAATTCTTATTGCTACACATTTCAGCTATCTAGACTACTCATGGTTTGTCAATGTCACAAAAATTCTTGATTGCTGCACATTTCCTGTGAAGTTAAGTATAATGTTTTTAATGAACAGAACTACAAATAAAAAAATTTTCACAATAAGTATATACATTTTAGCTACCCCAACTACTGATTGCTGTCATTGCACAGACCACATTTTTTCAGTTCATCCAGTTTAGCATTCAGCTCCTCTTCCAATTTTGATATTTCTATGGACTTGTCCTTTGCAGATCTTCACATGGCATTGGACTTTGCGATAAGTGTGAAGTTCTGAATCTTCTTAGCTTTCTCTGCATAGCTGTCTGCTTATTTGAGCAAATCTTGTGTGCAACTTTCAAGCTTGTTTTTGTTTTTCAGTTCTTCAATTTTCATAAACATGGTCTTCCATTTTTGTCCAATTGCTTTTGCCTGCTTTTTTTTTCTCTCCCAGTCTCAAGATATTAGTTGTATGTTGTTCTGGCATTGGAAACACTGCAGGGAAGAGCCTTAGTCATGGGAACATTCCCAGCACCTCCAACTGTGGCCAATTAGTCTATGATAATGCACTGTGTGATCAGAAGCTGCTATTTCAGATTGTCAATGGAAATTTCCTTATTGACTGAGAAACCTCTCTCCACTGAGGCTTGTCCATGAGAGTTCCAGCAATTTGTGAACAATTTTCCAGTTTTTGATATTCTTTGTTGCTAGACAAAGAAGAGTAGAACAAAATGTCTAGTCTTCATGCTTGCTGAAATTCTTAGAAGCAATATTTCCAGCAGCCCCCTCCTTGAACTCTTTACTGACTGATGATCTCATCACAATCAGACTTGTTGACTAGTTTTCTGGACATCATGTGAGAAAGATATCTTTTTAGACTGTCTTCTGTGGCAGATTAGGGTTCAGCCATGCAAGTGACCTTACAAGAGGAAATCTAAGGGGGAGACTTTGCCATTAGCTTCTCAATGATGGTGGTGAACATTGTGTGCAGAATTGCAACAAAGTCAAACAGATCTTTTGTTGACATATTTCCTTTTTTGGATAAATTTTGTATGGCTCTATCTGCCAAAAATCCACATTCGATCTTTGCAGCATCTTTATGGATGTTTGGCTTTGACAGAATTCTTACAAATTGATTCAGTTTGGAAAATGTAATTATCTTTTTCACACATTCTTACTTTAAAAATCTTAAGTTTCATGATCATGCTAAAAAAGATCATCTGCCTCGATTCCTTTCCTGGTTTATTGCTTTGATATTTGTTTACCTGTCTCTGATGCCTTTTGTCTTTGCTTCTCTTTTGAAGACACCTTTATATTTTTTCTTGTCACCTCGGCAAGAAAATACAGAAGTAACTACAAAGTCATGGACTCATTCTAATCAAGGGAATAAATCACCATTCGCAATAATTGTCAAATACTAATGACTAAAAAAATTTTTTTCTTAAAGGGAAACTTTTAGTTTGTAAAAAAAGCCAGATTTCTGGGATTTGGCATTTTGATTTTTCATAAACTGAGAAATAGGATGTGGAAAATTTTAGAAAATTCCAGGACTTTTCAAGGAGCTTTTGCCATTTTTCCAGGACCTGTATTAACCCTAGTACAGCATGCTGTTTCCAAATTTCTGGTAGAGTGAATTGCATCACGGTGCTCGGTCTCACAGATGGTGCCCAATTGCCCTTACTATACTGTGCAGTTGACAAAGTCAAAAACAACACACATGTATGAAATTAAAAATTTTCCCATCGCATCTTATGTGTGTGTGTGTGTATATATATATATATATATATATATATATATATATATTTTGAACAATAAAAAAAATATTAAAGATTAAAATCTTCAGACACACTGGGTTGTAGATTAATATTCTTTTTTTTTTTTTTATTATTATTTCATTTAGATTCGACTAGTTTCGGCCAAAATGGCCATCATCGGAAGAAGAAATATTTCTGCTTGCTGGTAGCAGTAAACTACAGAAAAAAAAAAGGGTACTGTTGTGCATGTATGTTAACTCTTGAGACTGAGGTATAGGGCCACAGTTTCACTACACTAGTTGTTGCTACTGTAGCAAGTTGGCTTTTACAAGTTGCTTATTCTATGCCCTACTGATTTTAAATTCAGTTTTCCAAGGCTATCCTGCTATAAATCCATAGCTGGTGAGAGAAGAGATGGATTATACCTTTCCCCAAGGCTGCAGGCTTGGTTAAAATTTGAACTGACACACTAATCTCACTTTGGGCTGATTCATTGGTTCTGAAATGAATTTTTAACAATGAAAAATCTGAAGCTTTTATTTTAGTTTTAAGCTATTAAATTATTATTTTCAATAAGCAAAATACTCTGCTGTATTTCAAAACAAATTTGAATAGATTGGAATGAGTTTTTGTGAAATGGCTGATTTTATCCATAATTACAAATCTTTCAAAAATAGAATATATACATTTTGAAACTTTATTTGAGGAAGATTAGTTAATTTAAAGCTTAATTAACCTGATTTGAAATAAACATTACGTACTCTTACTTTAAAATATCACAAAAAATGCATATTTTAACAGGGAAGTGGGTGTTTCATAACTATAAAATTGACAAATATAACAAACATCTTTATTTTTTTTAATTATCAGTTATCTTAATTTAGGAAAATATTCTAAGTAATCTAATGTTTATTGGATTTTAGGTACTTAAACTTTTAAATCTAATCTAGTTACTGCTCTTATTTTTTGATAAGGCTGTCTATGGATATCTGGTGGAGTAATGGATAGCAGTACAGATTGAGGAATCGGAGAGCCAAATCCATTACATTCACTTGTGTTAACCCTTGGGAAAGATATGAATCCTCTTCTGCTGCTAAAATAAGTCATTTGTGAATCAGTGTTGAAAATTACATGAAAATTTGACAATTATTTGATTTTTGCAAAATTTTCCAAATCAATGTTTTTCACTGCAAATTTCCCATACTTATTTTATGGTAACCCACTGACGCAAGAAGGAAAAAAAAAAAAAAAAAAAAAAAAAAAAAACAGAATTTTGAAGGTTCTAAAAAGGATTAAAAAATATAATTTAATAAGCCAAAAATCCTTTGGACTTCCTCTTAATGAAAAATGATTTTGATGGTAAAAACTGGTTTTTAATTAAGTATGGGTCATTTTTCATTGTGTATGTTCATTTTTGTTTTAAAGTATCTTTAGAAGTAACCTACTTATAGATCTGTGATTTTTGTTCTTTGATATTTTTTCTCTCTTCTTTCTTTGGTTCACCTTCCAAAGATGAACTAAAGGAAAGTGAAGTTGTTTTCCTATTCTTCAAGTCAGATACAAACAAGCAGATCAACTTCAGGAGGTGAAAGGAAAGGAAAAAAAACAAAAAAAAAAAACAAAAAAAACCTAAATTCTTTACCCGGAAGATGATCAAAATGATAGCTAGTAATTAATGACCTAATTTCAAGTGTCACTGAAAATCCTTTTGATATAATAGACAAAAACCATGTTTGAATTGTGGCAGCAAGAAAAGAGAACACTTGCATTTCTTTTTAAATATTTTATTTCTCCAAACACATATTTGGTTTGATGTTACAACAAAAATGCTGCAAAAAGGATAAGAGTGAAGTATGTTGGGCAAGTGAAAGAACAGCTTCCACATTGAGCAATGTCCAACTGTATTTGTTCTAGCTCAATGAGGAGGACAGCTGCAGGTTATGGCCAGCAAGTGACAAAGAAAACACAACAGACTGAAGCCTATTAGAAAAAAAAATGCTGCAGCTCAAAATATGATATATATTATGTATGGATGATGGATGGAAATAAATTTAAGTTGTTTAATCTTCATCCCAATCCTTGTTTTCACGAGCTTTTGGTCCACCGGCAGGTTTGGCCATAATGATCTGAAAGAAAAATGTTAATATGTAAAATGGAAATACCATCAACAATGAATGAAAAAGATTGATTGAAGAAAGATCTCGACACATTTAAAACAGGAGATAAATGAAAGACAATGGGTTATGATCAACTATTGATCATCAACATTTCAGCAAAAATATTTTAAAATTTGCTTACATAGACAATTTGTTAGTATTTATTTCTATATTGAGTATCAGATAACTGTATTTAACCCCCAACCAATTCCAATAAATAAAGCAAATCCCTATAGCATGAAGTACAAACACCACAAATTAACCATAACAGATAATGTTGAATTTCGAGAGAGAGAGAGAGAGAGAGAGAATGAATTTCAGTTTGTGGCCTGAATAATCAAAAATCCAATATCACACACAGGTCAGTTATAAGAGATTGATGGGCAACCTATAGAAACTCATCGAGAGTATATCTTCCTCTACATTGTTCCATCTTACAAATTTAAAATAAAACAAAGTCCAATAGCTATTTATACTAACCTGGTAACTATAAAGTGATTAGAAAAAATAATTCTGTAAATTTATTGATTATTTTTTAAGAAAAATTATAAACATATTTATAGCTAACATTAGAATAAACTTAGAAATATTTTAACAAACATTAGTAATTCCAATGGTAGTAAAGGGAATAGAATACAAAGTAAAATTATCATTTTGAATTATTCTTTAATTCCCCAAAGGAAATATGAAAATCTCATAATATAGTCAAGATGTGACATTATTGAAAAGGCACTAATAAATTGAAAAAACATTAAATTCCAATAGACTGAATATATACTGATGACCAGATGAAGGAAAATGAAAGAAATGGATATTTGTTTTCAATTGAGAAAAAAACTAGAAGACCGAAAAACACTAAATTCTGATAAGACTGAAGACAGTGATGACCAGACAAATGAAAATGGAAAAGAACTAGAAGGAAGTAATTAAATTTCTTGTCTGCCAAAGAGTTAAAACAAAATGATGATCTAGTTTTGATTAGAACTGAGACTAGGTGACAAACGATTCTGGAGATCTGGACACGATCTTGGCTGACTGATAAGGATTAACTTTTAGAAGCAGACAGGTTTCCAGCAGAAAATAGGTAAGAGAATGATAATTAAATTTTTCGTCTGCCGAAACACAATAAAACTTCCCAAAATCAAGGGATTGTTCCCTTTTTGTAACTTGTTGACAATGGAATAAAAATGATAAATTCCAGATGTGAAAACAACCACACACAAAAGTACAATAAGAATTTCAAATGATAATTAAAATTTGGCCGTTGGGCTAGACCACACCTAGCCTTTAGGGGACAGGTAGAATTCCAAGGATGGAGGAGGGACTCCCTCATACTTAGACATTTGCAAGAAGAGACTGGATTGGTTGTTTGGAGAATGCAGGCATTACCAGAGCACATCATACCCTACCCCAGCTCCTGCACAGGGGCAGATAAAAACAGAATGCCAAGACACTATGGCAGAGATAGCAGATTACCACAGCTTTGCCTGATCTCATGATTTGCCGCCCTGAAGAAAAAGTCCCTCAACTTAAAGTCTTGTTCCAAAATAACAAAGTGTCACAATAATTGGGAAGGGTTGAGATTTATTGCATGAAAAATATAGTCCTGCTTAAACCATCAATAACTGTACCATCAATTTTGTATCAAGTAAGTGTATAAATATTTTTTTCTTTCGTGACTTTACTCTTGACTAAACCATTGATTCCAGTTGACCATTTGGATCAAGTCAGTCTTGCAACCAGTTAATGACAACATGGGGCAAGACAAGACTTAGGCTGAAATGATTAACTGTATGATCAGCCAAAAAGATCAAACTTAAATTTGGAGCAGCTGGAGTAGTCATCATAAAATCACCTCTGGACAAGTATTTCAGAATTCAAGACTGATGTAAATCATTTAGAATATCTGTTGCAGAAAAGTTTTCACAATTTTCCCATAGAAATTTTTTATAAAATGCATGCATTAAATTTATTAATGATTTCAAGATCATTAATGTAAGCTTGTAAAACAAGAGTAAAAAGGTTTAATATATGGAAGAGGAAAAAAAGAAAACAAAAAAGTTAAAAAAAAAAAAAAAAAAAAGTAAATAGCTGGTCAGAATTCCTACTTCATTTTCTGAATATTTTACATTAAAAATATGCAATTTTTTCTCCTAACTGTAGTTGCAGTAAGGTTTTATCCAATCATTACTTATTGCATCATTTGATGACATGCCATATGCAAACAAACATTAAATATCTATGTAAAAATATTATTCAAAAGGATAACAATTGATTGATTTTTATTTCAATTAAATAGATTTTCTTTTAAAACCCAATCAGTTTTCAAATAGTGTCATTACTTACCTGGTCAACACTAAGAACAGTACAAGCAGCAGATGTTGCAAATTTAAAAATCCAAAGCAACTTAGAATAGAGATCCAAGATATTATTTTCTACAGCATCCATAACAGTGCCAACTTCCTATTGAGAAATAAAAACAATAATTACTAAAATAAATAAAAGTCAAAATTCATTAACAATTCTATATCAAAAAATTAATTACAAACATAGTAGAATTAAAGATTTTGACAGTTTTTTTTTTTTAATTAAATATTAATCACTTTATTTCATGTTGGTTTTATTATTATGCTACAACATAAAATCAATAATCATGCCAGTTGATATAACAGGTAGGCATTATACATAAAAACTTTCATTTACTGTAATGATATATACAATGATTGCAAATTAGTGGTAGGGAGGGGAGAGAGAAAAGATGAAACAATCATAGCTGTATTTTAGTGCCAAATGTATTTGAACCCAGTATTTGTAAGCGTTTATCATCATCATCATTATTATTATTGCTGTCCACTGACTTTACTGTTACTCCTCAAATCAGCTTAGTGTTAGTCACTTTCTGAATTAACAAAAGTAAATAATTCAGATCATTGTGGAAGAATTAATTGATTAAATACTTAAAACTACTTTTAGCATTCAATCTATATATTGTGCAATGAAATATCAGGAAGAGAGATTATTAGTGGCCAGGAATTAAAGCATTACTGATAGAATAAGATTAGCACAGCTATTGTTATAGCCAGCTTTGTAGACATAAAAATAAAAAGCCATGTTTACAATGCAAGCCTAAGCAGAAGGAAATAATTTCTTACCTCAATATTGACACCTATATTTTGTTCTCCTTTTTGATGACGTGCATAAAGTTTTGACAATACTTCTCGACTCTAGAAGCAGGAAAAAAAAGTTTTAGTCTCATTTATCATTCCTAGAGTACGACATTTTTCAATTCAATCATTTAACTTTTATACTTACTTCTGATTTGATTACAAGCAATTTTAAAAAGCTAACAAATATAAAATTATTTTTATAATAAAAAATAAATATAGACAATTTTACAACAAATCCAAACGATACATTTATTTTTAAGTATACTTTTCTACTTTGCCAAAACTTGAAAAATAGGTTTCTGGTATATAATTTTATTAATGGATAAAAGGCTGTTGCCATCAATGTGTGAACATTCTTACAACTCTATGAGTAAATTAAAAGACAAATGTTTTACCTTAGCACCAGTGTTCTCAGCAATGGCTTGTGGTAGAACTTCAAGTGCTTGAGCAAATTTTTTGATACCATATTGTTCTAATCCAGGAGCACTCTTAAAAAAAAATTGCAAGGGATTAGACAAGGCTACATTGATAAAATAATCCAAATTTATAATAAACATTTTATGTTCAGTTTATACAGAGCTTAAAAGAAAGTCATCCTATTTTGGAGGAATATTTAAAACGTTAAATATATAAATGAAGTACACATGGTAGAGCAGTTATTATTGTGTTGGTGTTGTAAAACTATTGATAGCAAATTTGATTTTCAATAGGAACTTTATAGAATAATTTATTTCGAGAGAGAGAGAAAAAAAAAATACTAACTTCTCCAAATGTGGTAATTCTTTTTGCTAATTCAATTTCAGTGGCTCCAGCACCAGCGACTAAACGACTATCCTGAAAGAAAGAAAATTTGAGGATCACAATTCTCCAAGAAATAACTAACCATAATACAAATGAGATTCTTATAACAGGATAGCATCTTGCGAAAGAACACGCATTGATGAACCTCTTTGAGAATAAAACAAAACAAACATTGTTTTCTACAATTTATGTCCATCATAGACTGTATGTATACACATACATTTATTTAATAGTAACATTATCTACTGAGTAGAAAGAAGTGATGGAGATACAATTTTAAGTGAGCAGAAGACAACATATAATCTTAAAATGACAAATTTATAAAAAGTTTTTTTTATTTTATTTTTTTAATTCAAGAATTCAAAAAGATGTTTCAAAAAAAAAAAAAAAAAAAAAAAAAAATTACAACGTTCAGAATTTTTGCTGGAAATCATTAATTTTGCTTAACAAAAGGTTAAGCTATTTTCCTCACATTGAACAATATTCTATTAAACATTTCTTATGTTATATTCATTCAAAGTCTAAAAATAGTTTTAAGTTGATAAATCACAAGCATACAAAAATAGAGAACAATTTGCCTGAAAAAGAGATTAAAAACTTACTCGAGTCATAGCCTTAAAAGTGTTCACACCATCATCAATAGCACGTTCCATGTCATCCATTATGTTCTCTGAAGAACCACGAATTACTATTGTGGAAATAATTGTCTCTTCTTTATCTAAGAAAAAGAAACAAAGATACATTTTTTTTTTTTATTTGAAACTGCCTCAACCAGGTCAGCTGCTAATAATGGAGACAATTTTTACCATTTTTCAAATCACCAAGATTGTTTGACATTAAGTTAAATGGATTTTAAGGTCATTAATATGCAATATCCTATGTTTGGGACAGTGAACATTAACGGATTAATATGATTACTGTATTTGACAGTATATAAGACGCACCCCAATTTCAGCAGGGCAAATCAAGAAAAAATTAGTAATTAGTAAAATTAGTAAACCTACATATGGCACATAAGACGCAGATAAGATATTTCTAGTATAAAAAAAAAAAAAAAAAAAAAAAAAGGCCTTATGTGTTATCAAATACGGTAATACTGGTTTTCTATTTTTGTAATCAATACCAGATTTTATGGTGGGCAATATTGGGTAAATAACTATGATCATCTTCCACTTTTAAGTATAGCTCAGAGAACTACAATTTAATAAAGAGGAGATTCTATCACCATCAGTATTATTACAAATTCAATTTTAAAACAAGAAAGTCTGCTTGCAAAAAAATATTTTTACTAGCAAATTTAATATTAACCACAGAGATGTATATTATTATTTAAGATATACAGACATGTATTTATATAACCTTTGAGGAGAGAAGATAAAGTTTTGTTTTCTCATTAATGGAACAAGGACACACCAGAATTTCACCCGAATTTGTATTCTGTATTTTATAAAATAAACAAGGTAAGTCACTAACAAAGAGTCATGGTCAGCTTCTTTAACTTACCTTGCTTAAATATCACAACTGAAGTTTCACCAATTTCATCCACATATACATGATCACAGTATCCCATTTCCTCAGCTGTGGGTACAGTCTGAAAAAGTTAAGAAAAATGTTGAAAATCAAAACTTTTCATGGAAACATTTTGGAAATTTAAATAGTGAAATTAATCACTAAACAAGACATATTTGGTTAAAAAGCATGTTTATACCAATGAAATGAACCTAATCAATTTTTAAATCTCAGTTTAAATATTACAAAACTTAGAAATATCCAGGCTTGCTTTGAGTGATAAGCATCAATCAATAATAAAATATTGGAAATGCTACAAATTTATCCTTTACAAGCAAGTATTGAAAAACCAGTAGATCAGAAATTAGATTATTCCACATTTTGAATCAGTAGGGGAATCCTAAAATATCCATCATTTTCTACTGGACATAAAAAATATTGTGTATATAAACATGGGGGGAAAGATGCAAGGCAAAAATGGATCATAGTTTAAAAATCAAAATTATTGGATCAGCCCCACAAAATCGTAAAAAGTCATAAAAGCAAATAAAATTGATCAATCAACAGCTACACCACCCTGAGGCAATAAACCATCTTTCCATGAGCATTTTCCCAGTACAAAAAAAAAAAAAAAAAAAAAAATTTAGATATTTCCATTCTACATGACAGGAATTCATAAATCATTTTTTTTTTTTTTCTTCAAATTATCTACAAGACTTAAAACGCATTTTCTAGAAAAAGGATAGTTATGAGCTATATAAATAAGATAGTTCAATGCAAAAAAACATGACAATTTCAGAAATAAACTAATGATTTTTCCAGATACAAGTCCTATAGCTGTGGGGAGAAGATGGATTAATACCTTTCTCAAGAATATTTGTGTGTAAGTGAATGTAACAAACACAACTGCAATTCAAACTTTACTCTTCAATTTCTAATTCTGAGCCACTATCCATTATACAACCTGTACATCTACCCAACTAGCCACAAACATACTTGAAAGATTTCATAAGAGATTTAAGTTTAAAAAGGTAAAAAGTAAATATTTTTTCTTTTCAGTAATGAAAGAATAAAACCAAAAGGCCAGGTCATACAAATATTAATTTAAAACAAAATCTACATTGTAAATGTTACATAAAGTATAAATTCTATAATGGAGTTAGGTAAAAACATTTGTCATCTTTTAAAATATTTCAGCAATTTTTTGTTAAGAGTTTTATAACTGTATCAGTATTAGATGTACCCATCACCTCAAATCAACCCCCTTCATTCAACAGATCAGCAAGTTGAATTTCTGTCAATAAATATCAGTTGGGGAATCCAACTAAAGTAGTCATCATTTCTGTTGAGCAAACTACAAAAAGAGCATTTTAATGTGTAAATATTCTGAAGGATTTCAAGAATGCTGTAACCAAAGAATTTTCCTTCAATGTCTTAATCACAGATATGCATATGATTAAAATTTAATGAAATTTTGCTTATAAAGATTAGAATCAATTTTCCATTGTACTTTTATGAATGTGACATATGCTTGTTTATATATATAAAAAAATGGGTGCATGGCCAAGAGTTTAGAACGTTCACTTTCTGACCATGAGACCAGAGTTTGAATCTCACCCCAGTTGATTTGTCAAGGAGACTTCCTGATGTTATTGGTCTGGAGGGGGATGATTCCAGCATGTGGCACCTTTGGAAAGTGCCTGAAAAGCATACTACAGGTTGACCCAAGCCTTGTGAGTGAAAAGCCCTTTTTTGAAACTCCATTTTTTTTTTTTGTGGGTACAAAAGTTAAACTTTGCCAAATTTTCCTTTATTTATTCATTACATTAGCTGCTTGTACATTGTTTATTCAATGTGTATAAAGAAAATCTTTGATGACAAATCATTATAGTTAAAATACCTTTCAATAGATCAGCAAGTTGAATTTCAATCAAATAAAATCTGTTGGGGAATCCAACTATTATGTTCATCATTTCCATTGAATAATAATATAAAAAGAAATGTTTCTAATAAATCTTTAATTATTTGCACATATAAATAGCATTTTCTTTTGAATTTTCTTATGTAAAAGAAAAGATATTACTTAATGAACACACCCTTAAAAACAGAAATTAAAATAGCTTAAGACTGATGAAATATTAGAAATATGTTTAAATTAAAAATAAAACATAACCAATATTAGTATTAGAAGTACACTTCACCCAAACTAGACCAATCTGTCTAGTTATTTCATTCAATAAATATCAGTTGGAGAATTCAACTCAAATATTCATCTCTGTTGAATAAATTAAACACTTGTATCAAACTACAAAAAGAGCATGTTAATGTTTAAACGTCCTGAAGGCTTTCAAGAATGCTGTAACCAAAGAATCTTTCTTCAATTTTCCTTAATCTGAGATATGCTTAAGATTTAATGCAATGTTGCTTATAAAGATTAGAATCAAATTTTCATTGCACTTGTATGAATCCGATGTATACATGTTTACCAATACACAAACTTTTATTTTTAGATATATATAAAGGAAATACCTTACTGCAGTAAGTAGAGGTAAGATTTACAAAATTATTAATTGATATTGTATCTATGAAAAGAATCTCTCCAGAGATATCAAAACTATTGACATTTGGAAGTTTACATTTTTATTAAATTATCATTTTCATTGAACATATAAAAAAAAAAAAGAAAAGGTGCTCTTTCAATAGACATCAGTAAAGCAAGACTCATTTTTTGTTGTATGATTTCTCAAAGCAGAAATCCTGCAATATATTTGCTAAATAAAATTACAATGTTTCATTACAATGTTAATGCATGTACAAAAAAGTATAAAAAAAAAAAAATAAAATTTTAATATGCATTTTCTAAAGTCAACATATCAAGATTGTTAAAATACGTTATGATTAATATGATAGCAGGTTTTTCAAAAGCATCACAATTTTTTCAAGTGATATGTAGAAAGAAATGAGAAATTCCCAAGTAGTCATATCAATTTTTGAAACCTTTCTTTAAAGATTATCCTATCATCTCCATTGTAAAATTAGGTTATATAAACTAAGTACAAATTCTGTAATGACACTAGATATGTGGATAGTGGAATGAGAAATCGGAGAGCTGAGTTCAAATTCTAGTAGAGTTCATTACATTCACTTACACACAAATATCCTTGGGAAAGGTATGCATCAATTTACAATCCTGCAATGGGTTCAATATCAAGACAGTGGTTGGCAACAAATCTACCACAGCACAGGAAAGAGAGAGAGAGAAAAAAAAAAAAAAAAAAAGAAAGAAAAAAAAAGAAAAAAAGGGCAACCTACTGCAGGAAAATCCGTCTAGTCAGTCAGTCATGATCACCCAATCATGTACTGTATATGGCACTTAACTGACTAGATAAAAATATCTATAATCTTTTTCAAATATTTTAGTGATTTTTTTTTTTTTGAGTTATATAACATTGAGTCGTTAATTAAAAAAAAAAAAAAAAAAAAAAACAGAGTTGTTGATAGAAAAAAAAACGAGTTTTTTTTTTTTTTGATGATCAAGTAATAAACAGTAGTGGTAATGGCTCCCATTTTTTTTTATTCATTTTCTTATGTGTATATTTGATTTGGCTAAAAAAAAAAAAAAAAAAAATGAAATTCTCAGAATTACTCCACTGACAAGGCTATCAAACAAATGGTAAGAAGTCAGATACTTACAATCTTAGGCAGAACAGTAGCAGATACAGAGCGTGCTAATCTCCTGAGATCAAATTTAGACATGACACGGACAATTAAGAGATTGTATTTGTTGCAGTAATGAAGGGCAAGTTCGCCAACCTTGCCTCCAGTGACAAGAACATTACAGCCAGCATCAGCAAGAGCTTTTATGTGCTGAAAAGATAAAAGTTGACAGTCAAATCATTAATATTTATGAGCAACAATAAAACCCTCGAAAGCAACACAACAATTTAATTAATGCAAAATTAATATTTTTTTATAATTGGCTATTTTTACTCTAAAATTTGAAAAACTTTAAAAGTTAAACCCAATTTCAATGCATTAATTGAAATTGAATGCCTGTATCATTGTTTATGGTTTTATTTGGATTGATATCCCCTGGCATCCCTCAGAATAAGAGGAGATAAGATTCAAAAACATAAATACCCAAAGAAGGCTAGAGAGCATATGGCTGGCTGAGATGGTGGTAGTGGGTAAACACCAAAGATGAGTGTGAAGTTACCATCCTCACCAGGTCAACCACATCCCACACTGGACATGATAGTCATCTTAGTAGGGTTACACACTGATGCTCTTCTCCAGTTGTGAACTGGTCCCATCTCATCAGATAACTTGGGTAATAAGGTCCACACATATTGAATTCAATCTTTTTATTTGACCCCCATTTGTTTAATCCTTTTTAGGATCAGTGCTTAGTGAAAGGGTATGAAAGAAAGAGAAACAATACTGACCAGTGTTTGACCATTATTTTATTTTGTACAAAGTGATTTGCTTTTTCTTCATACTAGTCTACTTTGCCAATGTGGAAATGAGAAGAGTGGCAAGAGTTGGACAGATTTTATATCTCAATGTCAGAGATGAAGTTCAAACAATAGAGGTCCTCTTGCCATAAAGACAACAACTGCTTGAGACATGAGCCATTCTGAGAAAATGTAAATTAACAGTGCGACTATTTTGGGGAATTCCCATTTTTAGAACTGGTTAATAATAATAATGATGTGATTTTACAGAGATGCTTAAATAGGAGTGGATATTTCATGATTGCTATACAGACAATACAGTATTAGGATAATTTTTTTTTTTTTTTTTTGAGTAAGGCAACTAAGTCAACACCCTGCACTGAAGGAAAGTGTTACGTCATTTTCTCATGACAGCCACTTTTAAAAAGAAAAGGCGAGGATTCTGAAAACAAAAGGATATGCAACCAGTAAAAGAGGTAATAAAGTGAAAAATTATTTAATTCTGTCTTCAGTATGAGAAAGAAATCAATTACATCTTTGAATCAATAGCAGAAATTGCTTATCTGTTTGTCATGCATCATTTTAATGAAATGTTTTTCCTATTTTTATTTCTTGCTAATTATCTTTTCATGGATGAATAAACATATATAAAGAAATTGTTACATTTCCTAAGAAATTAGAAAAGATCTTAAAGCAATTGTTTACAACTATAAACAAATTTTGTTTTGATTTTATAAATGAACAACTTAAAAATTAATTTGCCAAAAGCAAAATCTGTTCATAGAACTTACAATATATTTTGCACAATAATCTTAGATTTACATCTCACCATAGATGATCAAACATGTCTAGATAGACAATTTCTCTTTAATAAAAAAAAGATAACATCAGATGTGTAAAGCATAATCAATACTCATTTTACTCACTTTATCCATTTGATCTTCTTCTCCTTTGCTAAAATTCATCAACTCTTCTGCAGTTTTTATCAAAACAGTTCCCTGGAGTTAAAAAAAAAATTGTTATTGCTAAAACTTGGAGACAAGGAGATGGAAAAAGCAATAAACATGATTGGAAATACAAGTACTAAAGAATGTTACAAAATGTTTTTCATTAAATTTGAAATTCCTAAGACTAATAAATTAGTCCTTAATTTTACTGAGTAAACTACAATTTTAAGACCTTCCTATATATTAACAATTTTGTGGTTATTAATATAGAAAATAAAAAATCCAAAGATTAAATTAAAAAAAAAGAAAAGTTTACACTTTAGATACATGTGAATGAATAGTGTCTCCTTGCATACAAAGTTATATGAGCCATGTAATACTAAGAGCTACTGTGTGTTTGTGTGTGTATGTATATATATATATATATATATATATATATATATATATATACACACACACACAAATATCCTTACAATGGTGCAGACAATTCACAGGAAGACTTTTCTTTTTTAATTTATTTATTTTAATTTGTACACATCTCTCGAGGAATATTAGGATTAAAATTGTTGATAATCATTTTTATCAAGAATCATTTGTATTTGAAAAACTAGCCAAGTATGTTATACATCTGGACTGAAGATTTAAAAAAACAAACAAAAAAAACTAAAGACACATTTCATGCTCAGATTACTTTAATCCAATTTTGACTCAAAATGTCTCAAAAATTGACATTCTTTATGATCCATTACATTAATCTTTACTAGGCTTATATGAGCCATCTCCCATAATTACATGCAGCAAGATCTCCAAAAGACCAAAATGAATAGCAATATTAAAGCTGTGAGAGATCTAAGCTAAAAGGGATTTTTATGACTGATAGAATGGATAGGAAATATAATTATCATTAGTCTTCAATAAGTGCATAATACAAAATATGGATGTGCATTATGAATATTTTTAATACAAATATTCACAATAGTCCCAGAAACATTATCATTTTGTATGTGGTGAAGTTCTAAATTAAATGAATTACATTTGGTGCTAAAAAAAAAAAAAAAAAAAAGTATGTCACTAAATATTCCTTAAAAAAAGTTTTACCTTAGTTTCTGTTTGTAGAGAGTCCAATGGGCAAGAGAAAATGGCAATATTGCTTTTATCAGATTTAGTGACAGTTCCTTCAACCGAACGCTTGAATACCATGCCTTGAAGTACAGTAGAATTCATCAAACCTGAACCCTGAAAGAAGAAAAAAAATCAGTTTGAGTAGTTTTGTTTTACTTCTCTTTGCACCAAAATCAACTACTGGCCATTTATACAAACACAAGTAGCAAAAAGTGATATAGTAGCAATGAAAATAGTATCCAGCATACAAATAATAGAATGTAAGAATTTTAAATTTTACATGTATGCTTGTATTTTTTAACAAGCATATTCTGCATATCAATTGTCTGTACTTAGAGTGCACTGGAATTAAGACTTAAAGCAAAAATATCTAAATAAAAACAGAAACATTTTGTTATATGAATAAAATATTTTGCTTTAAGTTAGGATGTGATATTCTATGATTAGGCTATAAAGAAAAAAATGTTGAAGATGGGCTTCATTTTATATACTACATTAATTTAATATTTGTGAATATTTTAAACAGTCCCATTTTCACGTTAAACTAGCTTTTTAATAGTTTAAAAAATAATAGGATTTGACTTACCAAAATTTTGCAAACTCTTACATTATCAACATTGAAGGCATTCTTTTGAGTGAGAATTCCAGCTAAAAAGAGAGAACGTCTTTAAGAAAGAGGAAACGGCTCTTCTTTCATTTCACCCTTTATATTAAGTTGTAAAAAGAATTTCATATTTTTATTAGAACAGTAAAAAAATAAATTCTAATCCACAGCAATACTCTAATATCACACACACACAAAGCTCAACATGTACAATGATTGGGGGAGGGGGAATATAAATTAATAAAAATTAATGTCTTCTAAATTTTTGAAAAATGAAAGTCATGTTGCATTTTTAAACACACATTCAACATTAAACATCCCCCAAAAACCCATTTTTTTTATTATTTGTAACATTTAAGATGATTGTTTAAATTTATTTTTTATCTGAAAGCACTCATAGTTACTTACTGCAAGCATCAGTAATTAATTCAGCAATAAAATCTTCGGAGCCATATTGCTTGCTCATTACAGCTGAGCGGATTATCTTCTTCACTTCTTCTTTGTTTCTAAGATCTTTCACTTGTCCAACCACCAGATCTGCAAATTAACATCAAATGGTAAAACTTGAAATAATTTAATCACAAAGTAAATGGAGGATTAATTCAAACCAGTCTCATTCTGTGAGATACTGACTGAAGATGGTCTTACTCTCATCCACTTGTAAAAATGAATTCAGTCTGATGATATATGTGGATTCAATACGCAAAAATATAGTGTAACTGTAGTAGCCATGTAAAGAAATTTAAAATTTTCTACTAAAGCCAAGTCCTTGTACCAGACAAGACTCAGTTTGTAGAAACAGCAAGTCATGATAATAGTTGCAAAATTTTAAAAAGGAAAAACATTTATTTTACATTACAAAAAAGTTAAAAATACAAAGGTTGCACAAAAATTCTCTCTCGTGTGCCTATTATGGTAGGATAATTTTTTGAGGTTACAAAAGGACTCCTCAGATAGAAGGAAAAGTGATACAATTTTTAGGAAAAAGACAGATTCAAAGATAAAAAGACTACAACACCCTTTAAAAATGGAAAACCTTTGAGGAAGTAAAAGAAATCAATTGCACAAGGCAGAAAATACAAAACACACCCATCTCTACTCTTAACAGAATACTCAAACAGGACGCCTCAGCTCAAAGGAGTTTTGCATTTTCAAGTTGTTTTCTCAAGGGCTTTTGAAATATTTTGCTGCCACGTTATCTAGAGAGTTCTTTCAGCTTAAATTCAAGAAAGTACAGAAAGGAATTTCAGTTCTGGGGGTACAATCTGCCTTGAATCTGCTTTCTTAGTGTTGACTTATGATCCCCTTCAGCTGGACCAGTCCTCTTGAAGCGTGGGTGCTTATAGTTTCTTCCTTGACCATTGTTTTCTTGTGAATGGTTCATTCTTTTTCGCTGCTAATCTGATCACAGCAGTCCATTTTATTGAAAAAAGGACTGTCATATCAGCTCAAGTTTTTACAAGGGCTTCAAAGAGATCATTCCTCATTGGTCAATATAGAATCCTTTCTCCAAGAATTAGAAAAATGAATCTGCAACAATTCAATAAATAATTTTGGCAGTCTATGGCTTGAGCCAAAAGCACCATAAAAAAAAAATGTAAGAAACCGTCAGACCTTCAGAAAAATACAATTCTCTCTCTCTCTCTCAAAAAAAAAAAAAAAAAAAAAAAAAAAAAAAAAAAAGTGTATAACCCCCACCAAAAACCCCAAACCTAGACGATCATACATTTAGAATTTTAACCTTTTCTAAAAATAAATTTTTTATACATGGAATATGCATAGATTTTAACATTACTTAACCATGGAATGATTGTTGGGACCAGAGAGATGGGACACTATCTCTAAAGTGGCCATTCTTTAGGTTTCTCTCAGTCACAATAGCAAGGATATATCAAGAATATGTGAAGAATTCTAGCTAGATATTAATGACGTGAAAACTGGGGTAATCGACAATGCCAAGATAACTACCTGAATAAAAGGGAGATACTGAATCAGATCACATGCCAAGTTAACACTGGAACCCATCAATTAATATACATAACCAGTGTTTAGGTGATGGATCCAGCCCATCAGATGGTGATTATTCTGTAACAGTTATAAATATTCTCTTGGAATTTACAAGGCCCAGAAGTGAAACTGAAGTTTTCTTTTTGATGTGTGACATACACAAATATTTGTGAAAACTGCTTGTATCCTTTTATGCTTGCCATGTTTTCTTGGTGAAGTTTTGGTTCCAGCAATATAACCACTCAACACAGGTGACACAAAATTGGTTCTAAGAACACTCAGCTAACTTTCAAGTGTTCCATTAGTCTCCACACTTGTGAACTCTAAACTCTACCCATTGTGTGTAGACAAAGGACAGGCTTCAGATCTTGCTAAATTCCCTGCAGCCACACCTGAGAAATATTAGTTATTTATTTCTTATAATCATGAACTAAGATGCTAGGATTCCTAGGCCTGAAACTCCAGTAGTTATAGGTTAACATTCCTTACACTTTTGAAATTTATTAAAATCATTGCTAATTTTTCTAAAAATGCCTAGAAAATCCACTAACAGATTATTTATTGCCAGCCAAGTGATGACTGATGAAGAAATGTGGACAGGAAGCATCTTCTCTAAAATCAATTGATGAATTGTGTTCTTTGAGAAGGCTGGCAAAATATTGTAGAATTGCTAATAGATTCAGACTTTATAAAATGGTAAATAAACAATTTCCTTTTAGTTGGTTTACGTTTTTTATTAATTTATTATAGGTTTATAAATTTATGTACATTGCCAGTTCAGTTACACAATTATTTACACCGTTTATTCTTCACCATGTATGAAGAAAATCTTTGATGACAAATCATTATAGTTAAAATACCTTTCAATAGATCAGCAAGTTGAATTTCAATCAAATAAAATCTGTTGGGGAATCCAACTATTATGTTCATCATTTCCATTGAATAATAATAATAATAAAGTAAAATAGAAAAAACCTTTCAGAAAACATGAACCCTTTCTTTGGAATTTTCTCATGTAAATATTACTTGAAAAACACACCCTTTATGACAAATTAAAATAGTTGATATATAAAACACTAGAAAGGTCATAGGTACAAATTAAAAATAAAATATAACTGGCATCAATATTAGAGGTACCCTTCATCCAAAACTGACATTTTTTTCTCTCTTTTCTCCCCACAAGTTATTTCATTCAACAGATCGGTAAGTTGAATTTCAATCAATAAATATCAGTTGTAAAATGTAAATAAAATCTACATTGTAAATGTTACATAAAAGAAAGTATAAATTCCATAATAGAGTTAGGTAAAAACATTTGTCATCTTTTAAAATATTTTAGCGATTTTTTTTAAGTGCTATACAACTGTATCAGTATTAGATGTACCTTTCACCTCAAATCACCCTACCCCACTCCTTTCATTCAACAGATCAGCAAGTTGAATTTCTGTCAATAAATATCAGGTGGGGAATCCAACTCAAATATTCATCATTTTTGTGGAACAAATTAAACACTTGTATAAAGCTACAAAAAGAACATTTTGATGTTTAAATATTCTGAACAATTTCAAAAACGCTAAAAGCAAAATATTTTTCAACATTCATTAAACATGCTTAGGATTAAAATTTAATGCAATGTTGCTTATAAAGATTAGAATCAATTTTTCATTGTCCTTGTATGAATCTGACAGGTTTGTTTAGCAATATATAATTTTGAAGAAAATACCTTACTGCAGTGAGCAGAAGCAAAAGATTTATATAATTATCAATTGATATTATATATATGAAAAAAAAAAAAAAAAAAAAATTTCCCAGTGATATCAATAAAACAAACATTACCAATGGAGTGAAGGTAGTATAAAATAATAGTGGTGTGAAGGGTGGGGTGAGAAAAAAAGTCCTATTTTGAAACTCCATTTTTTTTTTTGTGGGTACAAAAGTTAAACTTTGCCAAATTTTCCTTTATTTATTCATTACATTAGCTGCTTGTACATTGTTTATTCAATGTGTATAAAGAAAATCTTTGATGACAAATCATTATAGTTAAAATACCTTTCAATAGATCAGCAAGTTGAATTTCAATCAAATAAAATCTGTTGGGGAATAGTTATGAGCTATATAAATAAGATAGTTCAATGCAAAAAAACATGACAATTTCAGAAATAAACTAATGATTTTTCCAGATACAAGTCCTATAGCTGTGGGGAGAAGATGGATTAATACCTTTCTCAAGAATATTTGTGTGTAAGTGAATGTAACAAACACAACTGCAATTCAAACTTTACTCTTCAATTTCTAATTCTGAGCCACTATCCATTATACAACCTGTACATCTACCCAACTAGCCACAAACATACTTGAAAGATTTCATAAGAGATTTAAGTTTAAAAAAAGGTAAAAAAGTAAATATTTTTTTCTTTTCAGTAATGAAAGAATAAAACCAAAAGGCCAGGTCATACAAATATTAATTTAAAACAAAATCTACATTGTAAATGTTACATAAAGTATAAATTCTATAATGGAGTTAGGTAAAAACATTTGTCATCTTTTAAAATATTTCAGCAATTTTTTGTTAAGAGTTTTATAACTTTATCAGTATTAGATGTACCCATCACCTCAAATCAACCCCCTTCATTCAACAGATCAGCAAGTTGAATTTCTGTCAATAAATATCAGTTGGGGAATCCAACTAAAGTAGTCATCATTTCTGTTGAGCAAACTACAAAAAGAGCATTTTAATGTGTAAATATTCTGAAGGATTTCAAGAATGCTGTAACCAAAGAATTTTCCTTCAATGTCTTAATCATAGATATGCATATGATTAAAATTTAATGAAATTTTGCTTATAAAGATTAGAATCAATTTTCCATTGTACTTTTATGAATGCGACATATGCTTGTGTATATATATATATATATATATATATATATATATATATAAAAATGGGTGCATGGCCAAGAGTTTAGAACGTTCACTTTCTGACCATGAGACCAGAGTTTGAATCTCACCACAGTTGATTTGTCAAGGAGACTTCCCGACGTTATTGGTCTAGAGGGGGATGATTCCAGCGTGTGGCACCTTTGGAAAGTGCCTGAAAAGCATACTACAGGTTGACCCAAGCCTTGTGAGTGAAATTGGGTAGGCAGAACACTTAGGGGACTGTCAATAGCTGTGTTAGAATGAAGTCACAAGTCATTGTGACTGAGGTTTTGAGTGTGCTGGACATGTTCAGATTTTTGATCACACTAGATAACACTCTCTCCCAGAAAGTGTAACTAATGTCTGCTCAGTATAATTGCAGTTTCAACCACAGGTGAACTCTGGGGGTGTTGAACAAGCACAAATGTGCCTGAGCAAGCGCATGAATTAGGGATTGGCTAGCCACCCAAGTAGACTGGTATCCTTGAATATGAGTGGCCAGATATATATATATATATAGATATTTGAAGAAAATACCTTACTGCAATGAGGCTAAAGATTTATATAATTATCTATATATATATATATATATATATATATATATATATATATATATATATATATATATATATATGAAAAGAAAATTTCCACTGATATCAATAAAACAAACATTACCCATGGAGTGAAGGTAGTATAAAATAATAGTGGTGTCAAAGGTGGGTGGGGTGAGAGAAAAGTCCTTTTTGAAACTCCATTTTTTTTTTTTGTGGGTACAAAAGTTAAACTTTGCCAAATTTTCCTTTATTTATTCATTACATTAGCTGCTTGTACATTGCCAATTCAATTACACACAAAGCACACAACTATTTACATTGTTTATTCAATGTGTATAAAGAAAATCTTTGATGACAAATCATTATAGTTAAAATACCTTTCAATAGATCAGCAAGTTGAATTTCAATCAAATAAAATCTGTTGGGGAATCCAACTATTATGTTCATCATTTCCATTGAATAATAATATAAAAAGAAATGTTTCTAATAAATCTTTAATTATTTGCACATATAAATAGCATTTTCTTTTGAATTTTCTTATGTAAAAGAAAAGATATTACTTAATGAACACACCCTTAAAAACAAATTAAAATAGCTTAAGACTGATGAAATATTAGAAATATGTTTAAATTAAAAATAAAACATAACCAATATTAGTATTAGAAGTACACTTCACCCAAACTAGACCAATCTGTCTAGTTATTTCATTCAATAAATATCAGTTGGAGAATTCAACTCAAATAGTCATCTCTGTTGAATAAATTAAACACTTGTATCAAACTACAAAAAGAGCATGTTAATGTTTAAACGTCCTGAAGGCTTTCAAGAATGCTGTAACCAAAGAATCTTTCTTCAATTTTCTTTAATCTGAGATATGCTTAAAATTTAATGCAATGTTGCTTATAAAGATTAGAAACAAATTTTCTTTGTCCCTGTATGAATCATATATATATATATATATATATATATATATATATATATATAAGGAAATCTCTTACTGCAGTGAGTGGAGGTAAAAGATTTATGTAATTATCAAATATTGTATCTATGAAAAGAGAATTTCTCCAGAGGTATCAAAACTATCAACATCTGAAAGTTTACATTTTTATTAAATGATTATTTTCATTGAATATAAAAAAAAACGCTATTTCAAGCTTCAGTTTGAAATTTATAAACAGTGTAAGTGTCACTTATCCGATCGAGATGCTAAAAAGAGTTATTTTAGTAAGTGACAATAGCGAATTTCAATAGACATCAGTAAAACAAGGATCATTTTTGTTGCATGAATTTCCAAAGCAGGCAGAAATGCTGCAATATATTTGTTAAATGGTATCATTCTAACTTTAATTCATGTAATATATATATATATATATATATATATATATATATATATATATATATATATATATATATATATATATATATATATATATATAAACTTAGATATATCTTTAATATGGTTTTCTAAAGTCAGCACAATATTAAAATTGTTAAACAAAAATATTAAAGTCATAATGAATCTGTTAACAAGTTTTCCAGATTAAAGTAAAATTTTAGCTTATAGGAATTACTCTTGCCTTCAGAAGTAGTCAATATCGATGTTTGAAAAGGACAGAAAAAACAAAACAAACAAGCATTTGAAATTTTTTTTTCTTTAATAACATTATTTGTATCATGGTCTCACTGAGGGCCTTAGCTAATGTTGCATCTTTCTTTTAAGATTAACTAATGAACCTCTTGCATAATAGTTTACATTCTATTAAACAGAATAATGCAAAAAATTAGCTTGCATCCATTAAGATTTATCAATTCAAGAAACATTGTTTTTCAGGAAAAAAAAAAACAACCAAAAAAACAGAGTAAAATGGGGGTGGGTCAACAGCTTCAGTCTCAATACCAATATTTTGATTTAATCTGCAGAGTGTGCTTCACTTTCATTTCATTAAAAATTTTAAAGCAATGTCTGCTTCTATCAACCATTTCAAATCTTTATCAGTTTTGAGAATTCAATAACAATGGTCTGCAACTTTAACACAAAATGGAAATATAGAAAAAGAATCATTTCTTCAAAAGCCTAAATTAGAGATAGAAGAACTGGATTATAAAAATGATTCTGTAAAATACTTTTTAAATGATTACACTGGCTACTTTATTTTAAAACTGCATGTTAAAATTCAGTCAGAAGACAGTAAGCCCAATAAAACACTTATTTCTCTTAAATAAGAGTAAGTCAGTTAATTGTAATAAGAAAAGAAAAAGCAAAATAAAAACAATAACCATCATAGTTGTAATCACCAAAGAATAGAAAAATTGCAACCCACTTAAAAATAAAAATTACCTGGAATAATACACTTGACCCCAGTTTCATGAAGTTTTCAGTTGCTTAAATTCACCTTTTAATTTTTTGAAAATTACTTTTTCCTCAAGTAGTGGGTGTTTAAAGAGTATTTTTTATGGCTGCAATAATGCAAACAACAAAATATTCAAGCAAGAAATCTACAAGAAAAACAGATTTGTTTATTGTATCAGTATTGCACTCAAATATATTACTGATGTTGAGAATACAGTATATTAGAAAAAAAAAAATACCCTTTTTAAACAAATATGCTTGTCCTGCTTCTGATACCAAATATTAATTTTCAATGTCAAAAAGTGAAATTAAGGTACAAGTGTCATTTCTTTAAACATTGATCATTTTATGTAAAAAAAACAAAAAAAAACATGAAATAATATTACAAACTTCTAAAAGCTAAAAAATAATTTCAATGCCTGTAAATCAACATGCAACAGTGATATAAGGAGTTTTATTTGAAATATGCTTCTCCAGTTAAAAAGTAGGAAACAGAAAAAAATCCTTTGCATTCACTGTTGATTGCAAAACCAAGAATGAATCGACCACTTTGAAGAGACAAATGTATCAACTTTATTATAGTTAGACTAGTTTTGTTACCATATTCATTTCATTAAAAGAGGAAGAGAAGCTGTTATATAATTCAGTAGATCAGCAAATTGAATGTCACTCAATCCAAGTCAGAAGGGGAATCCAATTAAAGATTCATCATTTCTACTGACCAATTCATTGCCAAACAATCTGACAATTTTAATTTGTGCATTAAAAGCAAAAGCATTAAGAAATGTTGAGCAAGAATATCCAAACAATTTGGGAGAAAACTGATATTCTTTAGGAAACTAACTACAAAATGAATAAAGTACTGTGTTTGCTAGCATATAAGGCAACCAACAAACAATTTCAGCAGCTAAAAATTGTTGGATGCAACATTGAATTTTATTTATGTCCCCATTTAGCCCATGTCAAAAGTTTTGTTTTGCATATCCATAACAAGCCTATGTGACTAAAATATTTGTTTTTGCTTTTAAAAGTGACTGAAGCATTTTGTACTTACCAGGAAGAATTTCTTGTGCTTTAGAACAAGCAGATTCGTAGCCTGCAATGACTTCAGGAACAGACAAACCCTGTGGGAAAAAAAAAAAAAAGAAAAAAGAAAAGGAGACGTAAGAAAATAAAGAATTAACACATGCTTGTAGATTTGCCTAAATACCAAATTTTAAAACTATTAAGAAAAAAAGAAAAAAAAAAAAAAACTCACCATGCGAAGAAGTTCTTCAGCATGTTCAAGCAGAGCTCCAGCCAAAATCAAGACTGCATTGGTTCCATCTCCACATTCTTGCTCCTGCTGCTGGCTTGCCATAACCAGCATTTTTGCAGCTGGATGCTGAACCTGATGGGAATAAACATTGTAAAATTTGGAAAAATTTGTGGAAATATAAGTGAAAACTCAATTTGGGTTATCTGATTTTTTCATTTCCATAACTTTATACCAATATTTTCACACTATTTATATTCTAAAATTATACCTAGCACATTTTTTTTTCTAAACTAGGATAAATGCCTATAGAATTACATAGGTAAAATTCACATTAAACAAACTTTCTAATTTCTTCAGCTTAAGGTTCCAAAGCCAAAATAAGAATAAATACAAATATCACTAGTGCTTAGCATTAGCTGCCTTCTGATGTTTAAAAATTACTTGGCAACGTATGTAATTATATTAACTATTATGGGCATCAGAATAAAACAATTATAATAGCCTAATTGAACTTATAAAATTTAAACTGTAATTAAGAAAACATCATGTAAGAGAATGGGCAATTATATAGAGACTACAGTAGGCACCTCCATTATGTCACGTAAAAAAGCAGCATATCATGATGAAAAAAGTCTCATAGATCAACGAAAACAAAGTTTTGTCTCAATATGTTGTTATTAATTGAAAGCTAAAACATTAAATTTATTACTTACAGTAAGTAACATATTCTGGTGTCTTTCAGATAGAAATTATATAGATTGGAATGTCAAATACATGCTCGATTTTTGTTTAATTTTCATAAATTTTTAGAAATTTGTAAACAAAAACAAAATTTTGATTTTAAACTTCCTAAAATAAATTTATATATTTTTGACATGTTATTTGAGTAAATTTAGAAAATTTAAGTTAAATTAATCTGATATGAAACAAACAGTACTTACTTATAGCATAAAAATTTTTATCCAAACGTTTGACGATGTGTCTAAATTTATCAAAGAAATCGATTGTGTTGAGGTGATGACATTACTATGGATGATCAAAATTGACAATTTTTGCAAAGTAAGTGAACGCAGTTTTTCGTTTTTAACCAGTACTTTTTAAATATTAACGTTTTAATTTAGCAATTATGTAATATCTATTTTTTATTTCATACTTTCTTAATTAGATAATTGTTTAAAGTTTTTTATTAATTAGATAATTGTTTAAATTTTTTTAAGGATTATGTCATGTATACATTTCCATATGTAGAAATTATGAACGTTTTTTTCAATAAAATTTTTTTTTTAAATATTCGGGGACAAACGACTTATGTGCTTTTCAAATTTCAATTCGTAAATTTACTTTTACATTAATGCTATCATTGCATTACGTGCTTAAAAGCAATAAACAATTTTAAACGATTTTTGAAGTATTAAGAAGTTAATGAAAAAAAAATTTGTAAAAATACATTATTCATCGAAAATTTTTTATTTCTTCACAAAATAATGTCCTTAATAATGTATTTACAAAAACAGGTGAAAGCTTTTCTAATTAATGTCATACTTTTTTATTTTTTTATAATTCAGAGCAGATTTTCTATGAAATCAGTAACTGTTTTAAAAAACAAAAAAGAAACTGGTGATTTACTTTCTATAAAAACTCCCGTTTATAACTAATAAAACAAATCCCACACATAAAGATTTAATTTCTCGAAATTTCATGAAAATATGTAAGTGGGTGGAAACATGTTTAAAAAAAAAAAAAAAAAAAAAATTCAAATATAATTTCATTCATTTCTGAATAAGTCCTGAAAGTTTCACTAAAATCCGACAATTATTTGATTTTTGCAAGAATTTCATAAATTAACGTGTTTTCCTCGGGAAAATCGCAAAATAAAACCATTTTTTTTTCTCTTACTGCGCTGTTGTAAAAAAAAAAAAAAAAAAAAAATTCAACCAAAATTTTCTATGTGCTAGAGAGGAGTAAAAAATTTCAAAAAATAATTAAATACTTTGGTCTTTCCTCTTCATAAAAACAAACATATTGAGACAAAACTTTGTTTTCGTTGATTTATGGACCTTTTTTCATCGTGATATGCTGCTTTTTTTACGTGACCAAATGGAGGTACCTAGACTACAGGATATATCAGTTTAGGCTTTCATAAGGATTATGAGAGGTTATGAGAAGTGCTGAAATGTTCTCAGTCTGACCAAATAGACTTTTTAAAACCCTTTCTATAGGTCAATGACCTTGTATCATCATTTTTCTACACCAATATATCAGCACTTTTTCAAAGTTAAGATCCCATTGAACTTTTCAAAATGTGTAATAAATGTTTACTTACACAGAGTTCATTCAAAATAGTAGCTGCATCATTTGTAACAAACAATTTCTCAATATGGTTGATGATCATTTTATTCTGACCTGAATAAGAGCAAAAAAAAACAAAAAAAAAAAAAAACATAAGGATACAAAGTTCTTTTTACAATATACTAATATAAATGTCAATTATTTAAATTATATTAAAATTCCTTAAAAAGGAGCAATGGCGGACCAATAAATTTATAGGCCAACAGTTATTAAATTTTCACTAACGGTCACTATGTGATTAGTGATTTATTATTGTATTAACCCCTAGAACACTAACCATCAATCAAAGTTACATCACTTACTAACCATGGGTATATCATACCCGATTTTGAAAAAAATAAATAAAAAAATAAATAAATAAATAAATATAAATCTTTATTTGAAATATTTTATATGCAGGCATTTCAAACTGTACTTTGAGTTAACATTAATAGGAACTGAAAAACATTATTTAGGTAAGAAAATCAGGTACTGAAAATTGTAATTAAAAATAGGAAGATTTGTGCTGGGTACTATATACTCATGGTTAGTGTTCTAGGGTTAAATGCAACAAGGGAAAAAGATTATTTTTAAAAATATTTATATAAAATAAATGCTTTATTATTATTATTATTATTACTACACTTACTGACTTTTGATATACCCAGTGTTGAAATCTCCAACAATCTGATAGCTTGATCATAATAGTTATATATTCCCTTTATAAAGACTAAAACCAAGTTTTGACATACAAATGTTAAGCTTATGGGAAACAGAACTATGATTATCAAATATTAAGTCAATAAAAAAAAAAATTTTTTTTAAATTATCAAACTCTCAAAACAATTAAAAGTAATTATTTATAAGGAAAATTATAAATAAAAATATAGTTGTCAATGTAAATAAATACCCAACAATTATTTTTCTGAAAAATTTAAAAAAGTAAATTTATCAAATATCAAAGGATTCAGACTAACCTTTAAATCAAAACAACGCTGCTATAAATTGAACTAATATAGGATAGACACTATAAAGTACATTTCAGGACAGTTCATCAATAATAAACCACACAAATATTTTGGCACCTTTAAATGGAATAATGTTTTTTATACAATTTAAAAGTAATATTAAAAAAAACAAAAAAAAAAAAAAAAAAAAAAAAAAAAAAAAAAAAAAAAAAAAAAAAAAACAACTGTGACAACAATATGTATAAAGGAAAAGAAAATCATACCATGTGGTCCATAAGCAGACCTTGTTGTTTTAGCTATCTCCTTACAAGCATCAATGTTTCTATAGATGGCTTCTTCTAGGCCCATATAGTGCTACAAAAGAAAATTTAAAATTCAATATTGAAAAAGGGATGTAAAAAGACAAACTGATTACAAAATAATGTCAATTATGTAGTTAGAAATGAAAATATAATTTTAACATTTAAGAATAAAAACTTAATGGAAATATAAGAATTTGGATGCTATATTATGTATATATTTTTTTATACAAGTTAGAGCTGAAAAGAAAATTGTGTCTATCAACATTTAATAATTGTCAACGAAGTTGTTTCTATTCTGAACAGGACCATTTTCTTGAAATTAAAAAAAAAAAAAATGTTTGAGATATGTGTGTGTGAGAGAGAGATAAAGAGAGAGAAACACAAATTGTTATTCTATGAAGTAGCCTCTCAATAGACTACATAATATTCATTACTTTTTATCGTGAAATTCATTACTTTTAATAAGACTGTAAAATTCTTAAAATTAATGACTTTTGTCATTTCCATTTTTAAATGAAACCGAGATTTTCCCATGAAAATCATTATTTTAAAACTATGTAGTATTAATTATACAACAATATGAAGGTCTACTTTTGAGTTGTTAAGTCTATATCATTTGCAATTTTAACATTTTCAGTAAATACTCGAAGCTTAAACTAGATGACAGATTCCATCACTTAAATGAACTTACTGTTAATGTTTTAAAGAATTAAAGGCATATTGCCTTTAATTCTTTAAAACATTATCTGAAGAACATCAAGCCTTTTTAAGTGTGAAGCATTATACAAACTTCTGTATATATAAAGAATGAGCTGGGGCAAGTCAGAGTAAAAAGTAGAATATCTAATTTTCAAGAATCTGTGAAACTAGTAATGGTAAGAGGCACTGAGTAGATAAAGTCCACTTCCTTGCTCATTTCTTTCAAAAACTTGCAAATACTACAAAATGACATTCGTGTAATCATTTTATAACATTATAACTTATGGTTTAAATTTTCAAAGTTTGCTGTTTAAAAAAAGAGAGAAAAGCGTGTGTGTGTGTGGGGGGGGGAAGGGGGCAACATCATCCCTTTTTATTCCAAAGCTGTGATGTAATGCTAAGATGGTTAACACTTTCAGAGTGGATAATGGCTTTATCTGAATAACTAGGCAATTTTAATTATAGAAGCTCTCAACAAAACAATCCCTTATTTAGCAAAATTCACATTTTTATGCCGGTTTACAATTATCATGCTCATCTCTAGGAGACCATTCCACGAGCAGTACCTTTCTAACTCCTTAAAAAGGAAGAAATGCTAAGCTAAGTATTTTTTTTGTTTTATCCTACTTCTATGCATGCATGGAACTCTTCCTCTCAACTTTACTTTGTACCATATCTCATTTAAATGGGTGTAAATACCTGCATTTTTATGCAGGTTCACTATCATTATGTTCAGTTCCAGACTGAAATTAAAAAAAAGGAAGAGGGTCACAATTAATCACACTGACTCTTGAAACATCCCAAATGTAAAGTGTACCAAATGAGACTGATCAATTTTTGCTCCTATCACTTCTCTTTGTGTCAATTTGCACTCACCACACTAAGCATTTGAATTTAAATACCAACATTAAAAAAAGTATGCATCTTTCACCATTATTATGCTCAGCACCGCCAGTACCTCTTCCACACCAAGTAAAAGAGAGAGGGACAGTGGAGAATGCTGAGGGAAATGATCAATATTTTTGTACAGCCCTATGCACACGTGGCCTTGTGCCATGTTTTTTATTTGAGTGGGCGTGAGGATCATCACGATACAATTACATTATCTGATGTTGCAGTTTTACATACATATACAAAAATTTTGATTAGATATCATTAACAATCATAGCATCATTCTATCATCCGTTCCCCACTACCGAAATTTCAAGCTTTTGCTAAACATTAAAAATTTTAGCTGTTTCTTTGCTACAATTCATTTTAAATATGGCATTACTTAGATTGGTCCACTCATGAAAAATAGAGAAAATTTCTTTTGGAAATATTTTTGTAGCTTAACATTTTTAGAGCTTCCTTAGGCCGAGACACTTGTCAGAATCGAGTAATATTGATTAGTTATAGAATTAGATAGTTGGGGGGGGGTTTCACAATAGCGATAGAGTTCAAATTCGATATATTTCAACAAATATATCGATTTTATTTTACACTATCGTTATTTCAGTAATTTAAACAACTCCATTAACACTAACAGCGATATGTCTAAATCTCAAAAAATGAATAACAGCTAAGATTGCTTTTTTGGGTGGAGATAGTGGGTGATTCTTAAGGAATTATTCTCGATCCTTACTGGGTGCCACATACTAGTGACTTAGTATCGATGTCAGTAAAACACCATGCTGAATCTCTCGTCTAAATTACATCAGATCTTGTCTTTGGAAAATTGATTATTTACAGAGGGAAATCACTAACAGATCACCAAAAACTTTAAGAAATCAGATCGATTATGCTCGGTAAGAACGGTTAAAGTAAAGAATCCTTTTGTCAAAGAATAAACAATTTTTTTTTTTTTTTTTTTTTGCAAAATCGAAATTCAAGTTTTTAACGTTGTCGATCTGTGTAAAAAGAGACAACGCTTAAAGAAAAAAATGTCTATTTGAAATATTGTAACATTAAAAAGAAAAAAAATCAGTTCATAAATTTAGCAAATGTAATTCTTGAGCATTGATTTAAAAAAAAAAAAAAAAAAAAGAGTCTGATAAAAAATGTTTAAAATTAAATTTTGAGTAGTGTACATGGGAATGTAAGTTACAAAAAAAATCTCAAAACCGGTATAAAAAGCACATGGGTGACTGAGGCACAAAAAGAAAAAAAAATATCATTCGATTGTCATCAAGATATATCTATAATAGACTGGAAAAAAAGGAAAAAAATAACCCCGATTGTAAGTTAAAACTTTATGAATATGCTTCTTTATTTTCTGTATTATCCTATTGTTTTAAAAGAGCAAGCCAAAGAAAAGAGATTAGAAACATTCAATCAGGAAAAAAAAAAAATCAAATATTAGTTGAATCACTTTACAAGTTTTAAATAAGGAAGAGAAAGAAAAAAAAAAAAAACAATGAAACAACAGGGGCAAGAAGACCAAATTAATTAAAGAAATCATTTAATATTCAAATCAAAGTGATTTTCGTGCAGAATGTTCCAGATACGATTTTATGATTCACGTGCATAGAAAGAAACCTTTTTATGAAGACGATTTAAGCAAATTACAAGATCGCAAAAATTTAATTAAAAAAACAAACTTAATTCCTCATAAAGAATAATAATCATAAAAAATCTAGTTGAAAAAATTGTCTTACCCTAGCGCCTTCTTTTAACATAGAGGCGAAGCCGGGTGCTTTTGGTACATGCAGCGCCATGATTTCTTTCACACTGACTCTGCAGTTTCCTGATAATTTACCCACAATGCTTTGCGAATGGCAATTCGTGAATGTTCGACATCTGTTTACTTGTGAAGTGGTGACTTCAACATCTCAAATAATTAACATAGATGCTATCTAGACAAAATTGTTATTAATTTGGTGCCTATTTTTTTATATAAATATCTTAACTATATCCTTATAGTATTTAAAAATTATTTCGGAATGTTTCGTTATAGACACGATCCTGGAATATACGAGTTATCATAATGGCAATAATTTCAGTTGTATTTGCTATTTATCTTTTTTCTTATCTTTAATATTTTTGATAACATTTAAATTTAAGGATGCTTTCTTCCTGGTTATGTAGACAGTAACAATATAATTGAAACTATTTAAACAATTAAGCCTTAATTATTATTAGCATATGTAATAATTATAGCAATAAATATGACACCATAGATTTTTGAATTAGTTTATTAATAATTGCAATTATTTAGCATACTAGCAGTAATCGATTAAGTAAAACTTGATAAAATAAAGCTTTAATGAAATATTTTGAAAAAATTTGTGAATTTAGAGAAACGTTAGGAAATTTACTTTTAGCTGTCAAAGAGGATTTTGCCCAGATTTTTACCGGAAAGTACCGAATTTTGACGAAATGTAAGATGACCCGGAGTTTGACGAGAAATGCCGAGTAGAGTAGTTGCGAAAACGGAAATCCCCGAATGGAGAAAGGCACTGTTAAAGAATGGCTCTTTACGTCAAAATATCGTGCGAGAAAAGAAGGAAGGTACAGCTCTTATTCGCTTAATTTACTGGCTCCACACAGAGTGTGAGGAGTCCGTAAAAAGCCGGGAAATAGATAACGAAGCAGGATAGGGAGAAATAAAAAAAAACATTGTTCCGAAAAGATTTTAAACTTTTTAATCGACTGTTTTGTTTTGCAAAAAGGAACATCCAAAGTGTCATCTTTGGATCTTTGCTTTTTTTTTTTTTTTTTTATTTTTTTTTTTTTTGGTGGGAATAGATAAAAAAAAAAATTGGTTCTCTTTGGAATATGAAGAGACGAAATGGCGAAAGCGGCAAATTGCGGCGGCCCATGAAACGCAGCAAAATAACTGACAGTATTTACGGAAGGTAAGCCAGAATTTTTGGTTTGTTTCCCTTTCAATATGGCAGAAGAAGAAATACGGGAAACCGGCATAAATAAATATATATTTCTATGCATATAATATAAGACATACAAACAACGGTGTTCCAAAATGCTTTGCTTTATTTTATTACCTATTATTTGGAATGAGGATGGCAATTTTGGGACACACTCTATGGATGTCTGTCCCTGGTGTTTACATGTGCGTTATTGTTTCTCACTTTTTCTCTGCCTCTTCATAAAACACCTTAACTGTCTTTTAGATTTTATCTGAAGAGAAAAGATTTTGCTGTATGACACTTAAAAAAATTACTTATTTTAAAATTTCATTTTTAAACCGACGGTAAATCACTTAAAACGTAAAAAAAAATAAGGTTATTTTGTCTGCTGTGAAAAATCCGTTTTTTAAAATACATTTCACTACCGTATATTCTTAACTTTGAAAAGATATGATAAGCATTGATTTTGTTTTCACCCCCTTTTTTTAATCTAAAATTCGTAATATCTTTTAAAAAAAATTTTTCTGCAATTAGTCGGATGATCATTTTGTGTACAAAATAAATAATAAAATGTCCACGAATTTCCATAATTTTTTTCCGCTTTGCTCATCCATAAAACGGATTTTTAGTATTATTATTGATTGACATTGAGATTATTACTAATAAAACTAGACTTAACAAACCTATTTTATTAAATTTATTTAAGTACTCAATTGTAAAATATTAACGATTTTATAACTGATTTCCAAAAAAAATAAACAAATGGTATCATTATTTTCCTCAAGAGACCTGAACTTTCTTTCCTTTTTTTTTTTTTTTAACCTTCTGCAAAACTGGCGCAAAAATGAGAATTAAAAAAAAAAAACAACTGCAAAAAAAATGTTCCATTCACTAGACATTTTGCATTGTATTTGAATTTGACACTTTTTATTTTGTCTCGAAATATACGTTTATTTATCTTTTAGACAAAATATGTATCAAATTCTGAAGGCGGTAAAAAAAATCTTGTATGTTAAAAAATTAAAATCCCAAAGGATGTATTTTTTGAAAACTGGCATTTTGTTTTTATTCAATATTTTAACTTTAAGCCTGGTAGTTGTTGTGTTTAGCTAGAGCCTAAAACGGCTTTTGCTTTCTACTAAAAAAAACAAAAAAACAAGTTTTTTTTTTTTTAATATTTTACATGTAAAATTTATTTTTCTGTTAATCAGTTAAAAAATTTTGGAAGGTGGTTTTCATTCACGAAAAGAAAAATCCTGTAAGTTCTCTAATCAATCATAAAACAAGGAAATTTCTGTTTGTCAATGTTGAAGAATGCGTTGTTTTGAATATTTTAACAATAACTTTTAACTTATAACTTTATTAATTTTGAGTTTTTGATCTTTATTTTTCTGTGCAATTTAAGAAATGCTCAATTTTAAACAAATAATAGCAATATCATCAACTAATGTGAAAGTGTAAAATAATATTTAGTTTACACAATCGAATAAAAGTAAGCATCACTTGTAAATTACGTGCGTTTCCATTTACAATACTACGGATGACCACGAGGATCATAAACACTTTTTAAGTTTCAAATCCAAACAATAGCACATTTTTTTTTTTTTTACAATGTCTTTGTGCTTTTATAAGCTATTCATTCTAAAAATATATTCAACTGTAAATTTAAAATGCTACTTCTAGTTTTATACACTTATCTTGAATGAAGTATTTCTTTATGCTCCGACTAAAAAAAAAGTAAACATTGTTGTGTAGTGTAACTTAACTTCATATTAGTTTACTTTTACTTACATTTTTATTTGCCTTTGTTTTATGACGACGTTTCGGTCGCTCTGGTGTTTAGTTTGTCTTAATTTGGTGCATCATTTCTAAATGTTAATTTTGAACAAACTACACTACAGTTGCTGTCTCTTGTTGGAATTATGAAAGTAAATTAAAAAAAAACGAAACGCTTTTTCGTTTTTTGTTAATTTAGAAGTAACTCCTTATTACCATTTTTAAGTTCTTCAGTTTGGTTTTTTTGTCTTTCTTATTCGTCACGAAAGAAAATCTATTACAATAGATAGAAAAAGGAAGTCTGACTTTGTCAACCTTAATGAAGTTTGCTCAATGAAAAAGGGAAAGCAGTATCTGTATATTGAAATTAATTTTTATCTTGTTTTGTCTTGTTAAATTTGTCCTAAGTTTTAAAACATTGATTTTTTTTTTTTTATTTTTTGTCGTCAGCTTTTGTTTTTACTGTTGAAAGTTTTACGCGATTGTAAAAGTTACTTAAAAAATAAGTGCATTTTAAAATTTTCACTTACTGGAAAGTGGAAACTATTCCATACTAAATTTGTTTATATTTCCCTATTTGATTAAAATAAAAATTCTTGGACATAGTTACTTTTTTTTTTTTTAGTTGATTTTATTTTTATTAACATTTCAAATGGTTTGTACTGTACAATACATTATTACATAAAAAAAACAAACTGGTTTCTCCTTTTGGATATAAACTTCAACGGAACTCCTGGGCATGTTAGAGAGATTTGTTGATGTCCATTATAGCACAAGAAGAATGTTAATTAGTTTATTATGCGACATGGTGAATGAAAAATAAATGCTTTTTCACTCCACGTTTTCTTGGTATTGAGTAAAAGTAAATTATGAGTCTGGATTTCTGAAAATCTCGCACAAAAGTAGTTAGAGTACCATGTTGCACAAAAAAAAAAAAACTGTTTGTTCATCTGTCCATTCTCGGAAAAGTAAAGTTTAATTTTATTCTTTCACTTTTGAAGAAATGACAAAAATTTCTTGAGTCTCCACTAAAAATAAAGTTGGGCTTCCGCTTCTTGTACCTGACGCAAGAATTTGGAAACGAACCTACATTTATTTTATAACGTTTGAAATTTGTTAGGCACAAATGTTGAATTAAGTTTCATTAATCTACGGAAAAATAGATAACTATTACATTTCGAATGCATGACTTAAAAAAAACAAAAAAACTCTTATAAGTCTTCAAAGTTTTGTTCGAGGTTTACGTCCAATGTAAGGGAGACAAATCGGTTTTTGGCATCTAAAAAAGATATCGTTTGAAACGCTAAACCCGAAATATATTTACTGTCTATAACGCTAAACTTAAAAAAAATGTTCTCTTCGTTTTCTCAAATATGTGTACAACCTGCATTATTGTCTTTTTACATTTTGTAGTTTTTTGTTCTTTTTTAAAGAAATTTTTTTCAGAATATTTTTTTTTAACATAAACATCGCACGCATTTTCCCCTGCGTAATCAAGAATACCTAAATAGCTTTATTTTTGCAATATTTCTTCAATGCTCGCGACATGCATCGAGGAAAGAAAAACAATTCCTGCTGCTAGACAATTTACTTTCATTCCTTACTTCCTTTTTTTTTTTTTTTTTTTTTTTTTTTTTTTTGGGGAAGGAGATACTGCTTAGTTTAGTCTGGCTTGGGTTTTCTTTTCCTGTAGGTGTTGAAAGGATAATAATGCCGCCGCATGTAAAACTAAAAGTAGCTGCTGTATCTAAGGACAAGAAGGCAAATGACTACAACAACAATACCTTCGTCTGCCTGTCTGCCTCGTTCAGGGAAGGCAACGACGTTTGTTATGGTACTAGCTGAGATGTGTGTCAAGAGAAAAGGGAGAGTAAATAAATAATATTGCTGTCACTTTGTCAAAATCAAGCACATTGTCTTAGGAGGCAGGATGAGAAAAACGATGTTTTGTTTTCAAATAGAAAAAAAAATTGGCTTTTTTTTTTTTTTTTTTTTTTAGTAGGTAAGGAACAAAAATAGATGGAGATTGAAAAATTCTTATAAAATTCGTTTCTTTTTGAAAAAATTTTGAATATAATTTTTTTTTTTTTTCAAAGTATGCGGATATTTTTCTATTGAGTTTAGTACGTTTTTAAAACTTTTTCACAAGATATTGTTTTTCAAAGTTCAAAGACCTTCCCTTAACTCATTTACCCCCAAAATACTTTGGTTGACAAGTCATTTGTTAGCATTGCCATTTAAGTGAAACTAAAACGCTAAATAAAGTTTTAAATAAATTGAGAAGTGTAAAAGATTTTTGTGACTGTGTGGCACGGGTTTTTTTTTTTTTTTTTTTTTTTTTTTTCCCCTTTCTTCAGGTTTGTGTCTCTGAAGTACTTGATGGCGTTGAGGGTGCCCTTGGGTAGAATTTGGGCAGTTGAAGTAAAATTAGCTTTTTAAATCACTGATGTTAAGTTAAATGTAGCTCGTTTCTTTTTTTTTTTTTTCTTTTTAAAACATCATTTCTAGAACAATGCAATTTTTGTGTCTCAAACAAAAAACTCTTTTTGTTGTCCATCAAATTATACAGGATGTCAAAAATCCTCCTTAAAGTTATCATATAATACACTTAACAGTTTTTTCACCATTGACTGTTGGTAAAGAACTTATCCCCCCCACCTAACACATGTAACATCGATGAGCCTCAGCTTTGTGTGTGTGTGAATTATAATTTTTATTCCCTGAGCAGTGGTAAAACCCATAATCATTTCTGCTTATATTTCAATTTCAAATATTGATCAGTTTAAATGATAAAACTCAATAATTCTAAAAATCCAATAAAGAATTATTCATTTAATATTGAAATAAAAAAAAAAAAGTTATTCTACCTCTATTTTTGGTTTGTTTAAATTGGGCTTTCTTTAAATAATTTGTAAGATCTAAAAATCTTTCTGAAATGTCAATTTATTTAATAATTAAGGTTTGGATAATTAACTTTCTCTTTCTTGATAGAAAGGACCTGATGACCATTTTTTTATCATTACCACATAATGTGTAAGTTCATTATTTTGATAAAGAATTTTTTTAACATCTGTTTTTTGTTTGTACCTCAGCTATGTTGCAGTTGATTTTTTTTTCCTAGAGCAACTTTTAAAGTTATTAATATATATATATATGTATGTATGTACAGTATTCATGTCTTTGTAGTAAGGGAGAACAAGATGTTCCTGAAT